TGTGTAAGTTGGAGATGCTCACTGCCAATTTGTTAAACTGTGAATGTCATTTATCACCAAGTTCCTGAATGGATTCATCCATTCTCCATTTACAGCAACAATGCACGTCATAAGCAAATCACCACCACTTACTGAAAATGAAGTTCCTGTTTTGTTGACCAAGTAAGAATGCTTGAATTTTCTTTCTGGAAGTAAGATTCTTGAGGACAGAATCTTGTTCATTTGCCAAAATTATTCACAAATCTAAGAAGCACAAAGGTGGGGTTTTGAAATGTTGGCCTAACCGGCTTATGATCTGAATGCATGCCACTAGCAAAAGGAATTTATTATCTTTCTTTTCCTTTAGATCACATAATGGCCTATTATAGAACAGTTAGCTCCTGCCACCTTGTGGGACTTCATGGGTTTCCCTGAAAGCTTGGATCATCAGTAAACTAGTGAGTTAAAACAAATAAACATTTGGGAGTTACTTTTCTTGTTATTCACCCTGGTGAATGTTGAAATAAGAGAGAAATATTTATGGAGAGGGTATGCCATTTTGAATATTTCCGGTTCATTATCCCTAGCATTGTTTATATAGCTGAATTGCTGAATTTAGTAATCTTATAGAGGGTGTTTTAAATATTTAAATATCTGTCAAGAGTCCTAAGTTTTGGAAGCTGATGCGTCCAAGTTTAAAATAACATCATGATCAAATATTTGTCACCACCAGCAAATTTCACATATTCAAAATAGATTCCACACAGAAATAATACAAACTTAGACTGAAAATCCTTGCATTCAGGTGCAATTTTGAAACCAAATAACAACCTCAGTCTTATAAAGAATTACATATATGCTTTTCATATGGTGATAACATGCCTAATTCTCCTGAAAGACCCTATTCCATGTATTTACTTTTTAATTGCAATTTGATTTCCTGTTCTATGTTTTTCCTCTCCTCGTCCAGCCACCTCTATCATACATGGCCAACTGAATGAATGAGTCAAGTTCTCCACAGAAGAATAAGACAGTTGGAATAGAAAGACTTTTCCACCACAGTAACAAGAAGGTGAAGATGCAAGAAGGTGGATCCTCATCCTCACATCTTACATGTTGTCTTCTGCCCCTCTGACAGGCAATTTCTCCCACCTACTTTGTGGAGATGCAAAAGACAACAGCAGCTGCAGTAACTGGGAAAGGATGAGTTTCTCTTTTTATTTAAGCCAAACCTCTGCTGTCCCAAATATCAAAACTGAAAGAGCACAGAGGATTGCAGATGATGTGACTCCATGAACCTAATCAACAACCTCAAAAAACCTGCTCCTGTCTGTTCTCGGAGTCAAGTGATTTGTTACAGATGTACAAAAATGTAAGACCAGTTAGCGAGTACTTCTTCCCCCCTACCATCCCTCAACTGCGTTAGTGAACTTGGGAGGTCTATCATGCTGTGTACTTGAGGCTAACTGTAGCAAACTTAACTCCTCCAAGTTCCTTGGAACTTCCTTCTGCTAGAGAAAAAACTGTCAACAGACTTGAAACAGGAACAGTTCTTCCTCATGTCAAAAGCAAATCATAATCATGTCTACTAAAGGCCTTTAGTAGTTCATAAATGGACTCAAGAACAGTAATTACAGATCCACAGCAAAAGGAAATGCAGCAAGAGTATCTTTTTTAATCCATAAACAGAATGAATTTTTGCTCAAGACTGAAACAATAACAAAATGTCAGGCTATAAATCAATTGGCACAGCATACCTGAAGAACACAAATTTTATGTTCCAAATAAAAGGTTTTAGAATCTCGCTAGCTTTCCCTGGTAACTTCAGAAGTGAGGTTGTCTCTGACAGCCATCATTTTCCCTCACACACAACCCCTTATCTCTTATATATTTTTAAGGTCCTAGTAGCAATACAATTAACTTACAAGGCAAAGCTCATAGTTGTTCACAACAACCTCTGACCCCACCTCTGCTCCAACACTGAGAATCTCTCCCAGACTGAGGTATGTCAGTGTCCTGACTGTCTGGAAGGCACCAAAACACTCCTCTCACAGCTGTCCTTACCCATCCCAATCTCCACTACAGGAAATTCAGACAGACAAACTGGTAAGGAGCTGCTGGAAGAGTCATCAGTCTGGATGACGAGGGAATCAGAACCACAGAGCATATTCTACCTGACCCCAACACAACCAGCACCATGCAAGGACACGACAGGCATCACTATACCTCACTGTGAGCATTAGGAACATAGACACCTCCTTACCCAGAGCTTATTTGCTTCAGATTTTTCCCTTCTCTGGAATGCCCTGATGTTACGCCAGTCTCACTGCAACTGCAGACATGTATCTAAGAGCCACCTTCAGTCCCTGGCTACAGAGAAAAAGAAAAAGCATGCTCTAGCAACAGAGTGGATCAGATCCAACACCCACTGCAGGTCTCAATAACACCGTAGTGCAAAAGAAGTAAATACTAGGACCTTTGATGCAAGTGAATCATATTCTGACATTCCTTTTATTTTCATTTTATTTCTCTATGTTCCTATATTCTGCAGTGTTACTAGTCCAGCAGGAAGATCCCTGAGCTAACTTTCTGCATGTCTGCAAGCCCATGGCAGTCTAACTGCAGTACCAGAGAGTCGAGCTAGTACCTTATTTTTCAAGATGCTTTGAAACCAGTGGGAGCATAAACACACTTCTCATACCCTGACTAGACATGCTCCCCTCGGTAAGTGTAAGTCAGCTGGACCTGACAATACAGGACTCCCAAGTAGCAGCAGACTGGAAAGTACCTGATGATTTTTCAGATCTTCCTGGAAGTACTGCACAGTATTCTGAACAACAGCATCAAAAACTGACCGGCATTAACTTCACTTAAAGTTGTGAGTTCTCCAAGGAGACAGAAACATCTGTTCCAGGTCAAGGAAGAGTCACGACATGGCTTGAGCCTGGTTCCCATCTGAAGCACTCTTGCCTAGCTGTCAGGATAAGATTTGTTTTACACTTTCTCAGAATATTTATTTTTCTACAAAAACACTATTTGGCTTTTGCAAACTTTTATTGAGGGAACTTTCCAAGAAGTTACATAAATTAATTACTTTATTCATGTACTTACTGGAGAAAGAAGTATTTAAAAACAAACAAAAACCCACAAAACAAACCAAACACTACTGGGCCACTTGCTCCTTCTGTTTTTTATTTTATGTATATTCTTATTGATCTACTTTCCCTGTCAACTGTTTAGCTTTACATTTCAAGGAGAAAAGAGGAAAGTTCTGAATCTAATTATCTTATTTCTTGAGAAACACCTCTAAAAATCACCCAGGTTACAGACTTTACCAACTTCTGCACATAGCCTGCTTTATGAGATTTCCAAGAGGAACCTCACTGCTACATAAACCGGAATACACAATGAGATCCATCTACACCATTGTTTAATTGATACCAAGCCACAAGAGCTTACCCAGAACTGTGCACGTGCCCAAGGATCTGTGCCAAAAGGTCTCAGAGCAGGATCAGGCCCCTGTAAGATTAGCTGCATGTACAGCTTCAATCCTGCAACTGCAATAGCTCAAGGAGACTGCTATGACAGAGGCATTGCAGGACTGGGCCCTAAAATAATCAAGTATATAAAGATCTTTGTGCTCTCCACAACTGAAGCACAATTCTTAAAAATGAATGGACAAAAAACTTTTGTATTTGTGAAATAAAAATCAATTCTTTGGACAACAAGCAGGACCAGCATTCTTCAGGACAAGCTCCTTAAAATCTATAGGCTGTTTTCCCATATTTTGTTTTGTTGTGTTTTTGTTTTTTTTTTTTTTTTTTTTAAGAATTTGTTTTTCAGTTGTTTTGTGGTTTTTTTCTTGCAGACAGAATTACTAGAATAATACTGCAAGGCCCCTGTCCTAAGCATAAACCCAAGAGATGAAAAGACTCAGTCCAAAAGATGCAAATTTGATCACATTTAAAAAAGGTGAGTAGTTAAAAAACCTGATAGCACTAGCTGGAACTGTAGAACAAGGATGGGAGATAACTTCCTTGGGATCTACAGATTCACAGTATAGCATACAGATAGTTAAATCTGATATCAGAAGGTGAACAAGATATTAAGAGTTTTCTGTAAATCAGATTCTGGTTTGCTCAAGACTGTATACCAACTGAGAAAACAGAAGTTATTTAAAACCCTAGGTGCACACAGGTCCACAGTTCTGAACTGTACTAGCCTAAGAAACGAAAGCACAAGATCCATGAATTCTCAGTCTTAACTGTTTTGAAAGACAGTCATTAGATGTGGTTGTTACTGACCCAATACTAAACTATAAGTTCAAACTTGGCACCTGAATTACAAAGTACCCTGCAAAACCCCACACTGCCACAACGCTGATTTCATTCCAGACCACTTGTGCCAATCCTTACAGCAAGAAGCTCTGGTTGAAGAGCTGAACTGAACACGCTGAAATATGTAAGTAGAGACAAAGCCTGACTTTATGAAGTCCTTCTGAGCAATAGGATATTTTAGCTCATTCTAAGAACGAGCACAAATATGTTTCTATCACCTTCACACATCTTGTACAGCAAACACAACATGCCTATGCATCCTTGCAAAACTCATTTGCATTAGGAAGCATTAGGAAGAACAGAGGGCAATATTCACACAGCACTACATTAAGAAGAGACCTTGGCTTGGAAGAACAGAAGACCAGGCCCAAAGCTCTGACCTGCAAGGATATTTTCCTATCGGGCAGCACAAGCTCTTAGGTGTGGAGGAAGAATCCTGAATCGAATTCGGATGCGAACAGATTGCTCTAGTCTAAGTTTACAAGTACTCAATGAGGAAGCTAGAAATTAACAGGTAACACTTCATCACCATTTTTCCAATCAATAGAGGAAAGTAATGTGCACAGGGCAGATATTTTAGTAATAAAGAGGTAGTCGGTGAAGTAAGTTTAACAGTCATGTAAGAACTTGCAGGAAGTTTAGGAATTCCATACTTCATTGTACCACCAGTCATCTTGGTCTTACCTGAATATCCCTGAGTCTACTCTGCAGACTGCACAATGGGGGTGCGTAGCACTGGTTCTGAAATGTTTGTAAAATGCAGTTAGTTGATGCCTACAAAAGCACACAATAGAATAATAAAATGTTATTACACCCTAAAAACATGCTGTTTAATGGAATATGGAATTTGTAATATATAAATGACAACACTACCTGTGTTCTAGAGTACACACTCTTAAAAGGTTTGTTATATACCTGTTTAGAAAGTGAATTTTTTTGATACTCTGGTAGGGTGGACCTGAAGTCTATCTCTCCAGAGGAAGAAGCAGAGAAAGATCTTTTTCTAGATCTTCACAATCAACAAGCCTCAGTGTAAAATTTTCCCCAAGTATTATCACACAACTACAATTAATGCAACTGCCATTTTACCCTGACAGAGCTAACAAAAAAAAACCAACCGACAAATGTGGACAACTCTTCTCAACTTTCTGCCCTGCTACTCACTAACTAGTTCTTCTTTCAGGAACTGGACAACACTTTACACTGGCAGAAGCTATCACCACCCCACATTTGCAAATGGTAAAACTGCTTTATTTGGTCTCCATAGCTGAAAGGGCTATAGTGGCATACTCTACCTTTATTCTAAGGCTACTGTATACTTTCAATCAGTTTCACTTTGTAAAACTGGAAAATTCATGCCAATCACTAGATTTACCAGACACTGCTAGAGTACATGATCCTGTAAGATCTCAATGAGATCCACAAATTCTGACTTTTAACAAAATCTTTATTTCCACTGAAGTCTGCAAAAAAGTTCTCACTGAACTCAGCATGACAGTGACTACACCTAATGGGGTGCAGCTCCTGGGCAACAGCACAGCTCTTTTTTGGATGGGAGATGGGCAAAATCAAACATATGGGTAAGCAGCCCCCATCACTTTTGGTGTGTGGGAGAAGTACTTGGGGAAGCAACAGAATCTGTTTTGCAGACAGTGCACAACATGTATGATACTTTGTGAAGACATCCCTCTGCAGTTCACCTTATACAAACTTGAAGTGCTCAGGCTAAGACAGTGCACCTGTTTTTCCACTCCCTCTGTGCTTGGCTACAGCCACCACAAAAGCAGACTGCTTGGCAGAGACTACTTTGGTTCAGCACTAGCAGAAATGCTTCTGGTTCCTCAGCTTAAAATTGTTCCAAAAAAAAGACTGGCCCATCATCTAAATATGGACTGCCGGCTGATTATTTCACTAAGTTCATCCATATGACTAACTCTCAAAAGAAAAAGGAAAAAAGTGAGTTTTGATTGCAGTGATGGGACACCATCACCATTACCATCACCCACTGCCACCTCTTCCCCTTCCCCCCAGTAAAAAGTAGAAAGGAGTGAGGGTGCCTCATTCTTCTGACCAAATGCTACTGATGCAGTTTCAGAAATGTTTTAAACACACAGGTCTCTTAACTGGTTTTGCCACAATCCCCCAGACTAACACAACCAAATTCTGTTCAGCAGCCTCAGTGGAATTGCACAAGCAATATCAACTCTGACTTCAGACCAAAGCGAATTTTACACCCAGATTTTGTAGCCTGACCAGTAGCCCATTCCAATGTAACCCAGCAGGAGAACACTGCTAAGCACACGCAGATTAACAGGTTTCTCTGAGACATTTCCGACAGAACACTGTCAAAGATACAAATTCTCCTGATAAAACCTTGGCTCCAATATTTATTTTCTGAAAGGAACGAAAGCCTCAACATTTTATGCGTCTATAAGGGGAGGGGAGGAAGAAGCAAGTTAGGACAAGAATTATGCAATCCTATGAAAATGCAGTAATTATAAAATCAGCGACATTGTAGAATCACAGAATGGTTTGGGTTGGAAGGGACCTTAAAGGTCATCTAATTCCAACTCCCCAGCCATGGGCAGGACACCTTCATCTAGACCAGGTTGCTCAAGCTCCATCCAGCCTGGCCTTGAACAATGAGGGATGGGGCAGCCAGTGCAGTCATCCCATCACAGTAAAGAATTTCTTTCTAATATGTAATCTAAATCTACTCTCATTCAGTTTGAAGCCATTCCCCCTTGTCCTGTCACAACCTGCTCTCATGAGAAGTCCCTCTCCATCTCTCTCACAGGCCATATGAGGTACTGGAAAGCTGATACAAAGTCTTCCTGGAGCCATGTCTTCCTCAAGTCAAAAAATCCCAACTCTCCCTGCCTGTTCTCATAGGAAAGGTGCTGCAGCCCTCTGATCAAATGCGCACCTCTCCTCTGGACTTGCTCCAACAGGTCCATGACTTTATTATACTGGGGATCCCAGAGCTGGATGCAGTTCTCCAGGTGGAGTGCCACAAGAACAGCATAGTAGGTGAGAAGTAAAAAAAGCATTCTGTTGGAACACTTACATTTAAAAAAAGCTAATTGTGAATGCTTCAGTAATAAACAGCTCCTATCAAAAAAGTTACCTAAATATATGACTATGCTATTTTCTTACTGATCTTGAATCAAATGCACGTGAAAGTGAAAATGACGACCCTTCCAGGATGAGTGATTCATCTTACTTTGTCTTGTTCTCTTAAGAGTAAGAAATAGTCAGTAATTTTCCTGTTTCAATTTTTTAAGGAAGGTTTTCTTTTTATTTCTTTATAAAAACTGGCCATTTTAAACATTTGCAACCTGCAATAGCATTTTGACCTTTGCTCCAATTTTCCTCTTATTTCTATTCAGCTTTCTAATCTTATCATATTTAGTTCTACTAGACCACAATAACTGCTAAGACTTTGAATACCCTATACATTGATACAAAAGAAAATAGAAAACCAGGACAAAGACAGGATCACGAAACCTATGTTTGCACCAGAGAGTGAAGGCCATAAAACCACTTCTTGAAGTGTGTAATTCCTCCTTTTTGGGAGGCAAGGGCAAAACTGCATTTGTACACAGTTTGTGTCACTGTACTACCAGGCCTCAGGCACACTGCATTTCTGAGCACAACTCCTCTCTTACCTGAGGTTTAACTCTGCACTCCTTAATGGTCACAAACACTGCAACACAGTTCCCCTGCTGCAGAAAAAATGCATGGAGCTGCAGAGTCAATACACGTTATCAAGCTTTTTGACTGCATGGATGCTATTAATATTTTGGTAGGGTGGGGGGTAGAATTTGTGTCAGCCACAGAGCTGCTATGGCATATATACCAATTTATTTTCCCTTATTTCTTTTCCCTTTAACACATTAGCAATACATACAGCATCCAGTAACAACCTGGTTTCATGTTTTGCTTTCTCTGACCAGCAGTGCTAGATTCCTTCCTGGATGTTGTAAAGCACCACCTCAACCATTAAAGTCACAATCACATACCACATAGTCAAATGGAAAGCTTGTAACAGCAATTTAAAAATAATTAATTTTTTAATATTAAGTACATATCTGTGTAAACAGAGATCTGTTGATCTCTATCTTTTAGAAGCTACAGAGGAGTCTAGCATGCACAACAACAACAACAAAATATGGCCACAGTTTTACCTATTGAGCCTAGGTAACCTTCTGCATTCCTTAATGGCAGAAGATACTGCCCAAGGCATCTGCTATTACAAACAGGAACCAGATAATAGATGCTAAAGTCATCTAAAAAATATATATTCTGCTTAACAGAAATAGATACTGTTGCAAATGAACTCTTTCTGAACAAAGAAATCATATCAGCATTTCAGATGTTATTGTTGCTAGATGTGTTTTAGCAAAAAAATATCTAATTGCAATTTGCCTTTAAATTACAAACCAATGCTAAATTCCACTGTAATATTATGTAACTCAATTTATATTAAAATAAATTGCAAATGTTTGAAGTCAAAACTGTAGACAAAGCTCAAACACTCAACAGGTACTTCCTTGAAGTACCAAGAACAAGTCTTAGGTTTAGAACTAAGTTACCTGAAACTAATACCTTCCATTGCATCTGCAGAGTCTTTGCTCCATAAGTCACTTAATGGCACTTCCTGTAAAGCCAGGAAACTGACTGGGAATTGAAAGAGTAAAATTACTTTCTTTCTGTTCTGAGAAAACAAAGAAGTTTGAGTTCTGTTAGCTCTAAAAGCTTGCATTCACTTAAGCAGAATTAGTTACCTTACTAGAGATAATATTTTAGTTTTATTTTAAGTGTAAAATCTATTTGCATTTATTTATGTGTTTGTGCAAGAGTGTAATTTTATTAAGTAGGACATTTTTAAAGGCCACAATCAAAAAAAGGCATAATTTGTCATATCCTAAATAAAAACTTTTTTAACAGCTGCAATCTAGATAAATGCACATAGGCCATGAAATCACTTAGAAACTGTGTAAGAGGCATACAGTCCATGCTCTGAAATAACAACAAAAAAGTAGGCCTAATTTAGTGTAAAGGATAAATTGGGCAACATATTTTAATGGTGTCTACCAATGGAGACTGCTCCTAAAAAAACAAAAATACCAAAGCAAAATGAGATTACAAGCACCAATTTACCCCATGTGTTTATTGAGCGCAATCCTGATTTAAATCATCTCAATAGGTATAACTGGAATGTCAAGGCAGCAGACACGGGAGCGTACGTAGAGAGGGGCTCACAATGGCCAGGAATAGGAGGCATTGGAGGCACTGCTTTCAGTGTGCCTGCCCCCACTCTCTCCTTCAGCCCTACTCAATCTCTGCAAAGCCTGTTAGAGCTCCACAAAACACCATCCCCCACTCAAAGGTATTTTTTCCCCCTCTAGGATCCTTGAATAAGAGAACACATACTGTCCCCACTATAGATCTGAGCTGCGCCCTTCTCTCGTGTAACCCACTGCATGGGGATGTCTGTGATGACAGCCTCACCTCCATTTTTGATTTCCTTCTTTCTACGAAGAGTAACAGCAAACGTCAAATGCAGCCCTGTGGGTCCATCCAGAAAAGCAAGGCTGCACACAGAAACCAGATCAGCTGCGACAGAGAAACCAGCAGAACACTTCTTAGACAAAACACAGTATCTGGTCCGTTTTCTCAGGTGCTTCCCTCTGTGCACTCCAGCATCCTCTCGCTCACTCTGGCCCCATCAGCACATG